TCAGATCTGCTAGCTAATTGATATTGTTTCTTCCTAACCTGCCTCTCTAACTACTTGTTGTTCAGTCTGAGATATCTGAACTCCATTGACCAAGGGAGTGGATTAGCAGAGAAATAGCTGGTGCAGGTGCTCAGGGTTACTGCAATACGTGAAAGGGTTGTGAAAGGGTTGTGGGGAAGCTGGCCTCAGTTCTCTCTCTAGGTGTTGCAGTTTGGTGCATGTGGCTGCAGCATTTCTCGGGTTTGGCCAAGCTGCTCCTCCATCATGATGATGGAGGTGGAGGGACGGCCAGACCAATTTGAGGTGTGTTATAATCCTTTGTGCCAAGGTGGTGACCGCATGCAATGCCACTCCCACCAATTTGGGCTGGGCCACGTCAAGCAGCATTGCAGCCCAGAGTTTGCGATGCCTGTGTGGGAACTGGGTCCAGTCAGGAGAGCGTGGTTGGTTGCTGTGCTCTCCCAGAAGTTCCACCTTCTGATGCACCCACACCTCACAGCCTGGCAACACCACATCTTTCATACTTGCTGTCCTGCCCCCTCCAGCGCTCCCTGATTTACCTTTACCTCACAGCTGTTTAACTCCTGCTTGCTCATGCCTGCCATGCATCCCCAGTCCTTTCTGTTCCCAACTCCTTCCCTCAGCCCCCTGCACTTTACTCTCTGCCCCCTCCTGGTCTGTGTGTCCAAAATGTGTGTTTCTGAGTTTTCACAGCTCAGCTTCTCCCCACAGACTCCTCTGTCCTGTCACCCAGCCTCCCACTGGACCTCCACGCTCTTCTTTCCCATTCCGGTTTCTTCTCTAAACTTCCAACTCCTTTATTACTACCTCCCCAGCCCACGCAATCTCCTCCCTTCACCTGTAGACTCTTAAATTGCTCCCCTTATCCTCTGCCCTCACAGGTGTGTGTGTGTGTGTGTGTCTCTGAGTGTGGGAACGTGTTTTCGGGGAGGACTCCTAACCCCAGTTGCTGGAGGAGGGGGGGAATTCCCAAGTAGTTTATATTTGTCTGGAGTTCTGGAATATTAGCTCCAGCACCCCTGCTCCTCTGCTGGACCCTCATGGGGGGAGGGGATGTAGAAAACATTAACATTACCTAATTTTGTCACTTCTGTGAAGCAGTTTAATATTTTGAGACTGAAATGTTATGACGTACTGAGCAGTTGAATCACCATGTTTGATGTGTATAATTCAAATTTGAGGGAGAAAGTCCCCAATAAACACCTGCACTGGAGCCCATTTTTGGGTTCTTCTGCCACTGGGTGGAATCAGTGTTGTCACACCGTACATGAGAACCATGGTATCTTAGTCTCAGTCCTGGCAGTAAAGTACTGAATACAAAGGGAGAACATACAGTGACAAGGATTCCTCCTCCTTCCAGCCTCACTCTCCTGCTATTTTTTTTCTTTTTAGAGCTGCTTATGTCATTGCTACCTTCCAATATATACCACTTGCTACAAAGGTAGAAAAAGAGGGGTTTTTTAATCTACCATATTGCAAGTTGTTTGTTCAACTTGCAATCTGGCAAACAATGTTAAAATGACAAGTTTAGATATATTACTGTGAAAGGATTAATTCAACATATCATGCCCTCTATTTGAAGAAAGTGTGAATACAAAGAGCCTTATGGAACAAAATGGTGACCATTATAAGTCATTGGCTTTATTTGTGCTGGATATTTTGCAGTTAAATAGATGTAGGTATGAAGCCTTCTCTTTGATACTGTATGTGAGTTAGTCAAAGTGGATGTGAAGAAAAAGAACATCTCTCATAGGCTAGGGTTTATCATTTTCCTTTATATTGCTGCTGGGTGGCAGCTAGGGCCAACTTTGAATTGTACATGTGAGGAAAAAAAAACATGTAACAGTTTCCTTTTTAAAGTACACATTTCCATAATGAGATCTGCTGAGGAAACATGCTGTATAAGAAATAGGTGTTGTTATTATTAACGTTATTATATTGGGAAACACATCCAAAATGTATCACTAAGCGCACACAACTAATCAATGGGAGTCTTTCCAAAACTGGAGTGGTGTCCATTAGTTTAAAAGGCATCTTAAAATTTGAAGTCAGATACTTTGTGTGTGTGTGTGTGTGTGTGTGTGTGTGTGTGTGTGTGTGTGTGTGGGGTTCTCATTTATGTGAAATGGAGAGTGGAATCTGGTAAAGGCTGTCTGAAAGGAAGTTCTCTTAGGTGGCTGCTGTTGTATGATCCTTTCTTTGGAGTGGTTAAGTAGACTATTAGAAATATTATTTGCTGAGTTCCAATAAATATAAATTTTCAAGCTGAATGCAAGTATAACTCACTAGTAGGTGGTGATCTTGCAGTTTCTTTACTATCCCACAAAGATCGAGATCCAAAGGCTCCATCTTGAGGTTTCACTGACAGTGTCTTAAGGCACTGATATCACAATAGCCTCTTCCGTACTACCTCATGAAAGGAATCTCTAGATTGTACGCTGTCCAAAAGAACTGATTGTAAGTGAACTTTTAGGCACCATTTCTTTTAGAGCTAAATTTCACTCTGAGTCGGAGGGGAGCATGTGGCAAGGGCAGCAACAGATAGGTTTTTGAGAACAGATTTTAACCACGAATAGCTTGCGGATTAAAACTAAGCTTACTTTTTTTTAAGCCAGTAGCTTATAAAGAATAGCGGCCAGCGTTTTTAATCCTGGTTGCCTAAAGTTAAGTTCTCAAATTTATATTTAAACGCCTAAGTGTCTGAATTTTCCAAAGGTGCTGAGCATCTGCAGCTCCCATTGAAATTCATGAAGTTAATTTTCATTTAAACTGTTGCAGGTGAGAAGAGGGTCAAGCTGTTTGTGTCCTTACATGTTAAGTAAATGCTATTTATTTCCCAGAATGCACAAGGAAAGAAAATGCCCAGCACTTATTTAAGTATTGTGTTTGTTGCCCCCAAAGCACTGAGTAGCATCCTTGGGATTGTACTACCTCGTGTTTGGACTATATGTGCCTTTGGGCCTCCACCTGATTAATCTGTAGTATTTGTAGAAATGGAAATGCATGGTAGGGTTACACAACGGTTGTTTCAGACTGGTGTGTGACATTGTAATGGTATGTTATTTTTAATGAACAGTGTAGTTACACTGTGTAATGTTTGTTCACTAAAAGGGAAAAGAGGTGTTAAATCATTGTGTTCTTTGATGAATGGCTTGTACACTGAAGAATAAATTGAACAAACTGGCATAGAGCTCAGTGAACATGAAATCAGCTATTAGAAGAAAGCTTGTGAACAAATTCTGAGCCTGATATGCATCTTTTGATTAATGTCCTATCAATCATCCATAGTGGCTACCTTAGCTAAGTCGTGCTGTAATCATTCATGGTTGCTTACAGGAACACTGGCAGGGACTATAGGGCTGCAATAACTGAATATTATTACTGATTTCTTCCTAACTCTTGCTGTGAACAATTACAGTTTTCACTACATTCCTGCCTCCCTTTATTAAAAGAATACAATGCAAAATGAAAAGAGAGTTTCTGAAAGACTGGTAAAATTCTCCCAGGGTATTCTGAATAATATTCTGTCCTAAATGGGCAAACTATTGTCATGCGTAGTTCTCACCAGGAATAATAGTAAAGTAATCACATTGAAGCCGTCTCTTTATGGATTGTAGTCCAATAGAGAAAATGTATAGTCAGATTAATGAACACAAAATATCTGTAGAATTATTACTTAAAATGGTTGAAACGATTTGAATTATTTTCATCTCGATGTTTTCAGTTAATGTGCTTAACAGTAACAGTAATTAAGGCTCCAGACTTTACATTTGCATTAAATCCACCTTTGACATTAGAAGAAACCTTGATTCTTTCAAGGTATGGTGTTCTGTGTTTTTGTTTTTTTTAAACACAGGCATGCACCCAAACATGTTTAATTTGCCAGGTACTTTTAATTGATTTTTTTCAAATGGAAGAAAAAAATTAAAAACATATTTTTGTAATTATGTGGGCTTTCTTTTTTTTGTTTTTTTGGCCCGTGTGATTGTAAATTACTGGCAAATGCTTGCAAGAATACCCATGGCCTCACGAGAGGATTTAGCTCCAAACAATTCATTTCTAAAACATGGCACAAAAATGGTTTGGCACTACCTATTGTAGAGAGGTCTTCAGACTGTAGTGTAATTTCCTCAGAACTCACTGTAGTCTGGGAAATACAGTGGGGTAATGAAGTGATGACAGCTATTAGCATGCATAATGGGCTTTAATAGACATTTAGTGTTGTTTAACTAGAAGAGGGAGAAGTGCTTTCCCATTGGAATATTTCTACATTGAAACACATTGATCACCAATTTCAGAGGGGAAAGGTTAATCCATCAGTTTCTGTAACCAAACGGCACTGATGGAAATTCTTTAGGTGACATTCTGGATGAACTGAGCTCTCCATCTTTACAAACAAATGAGTGATATGACAAGCATGTTGTTCAAAACACATTTAACCAATTGATTTTCTCTCCTCTTGTAATAAGATCTGGAGACATATGAACGAGCATACCATGAGCTAGGAGTAAAGGAATTGCTCCACACTCGAAAACATACAGAACTACTTATCAATAAAAGTACTAGAAAACATGTAATCGCCCATTCTTTTTCTTTATATAAAGTTTGTTATTGTAATAAATAGCTGTTATTGAACTGCTTGCCTCTTATTTCACATTTCCTGAATTTTATTTCAGGCAGCTTTCTGTGTAGTGTTGGTAAATGGGAGCCTTTTTAATGGAAGGTTAGAAACATTATATTTTGCTATAATATCATTTTTGCTTTCAGTAATCAATTTAACCCAGCTTAATAGCAGTGGATTTAATAGCAATGTTTGTCATTTGTTTAGGGCGAGGGGCTGGAAAATGTGAGGGAAGGGTTAGCTTTCTGCCAATGCTGCTTCCATAGCTGGAAATGTAAATTACCTGTACAATTCAGCATAACAATATTCCTCATCTCTTTTTATTTTTGTTTGTTACTGTTTTTCCTCCTAAATTCAGTCCTGCTCTGAGTTTCACTTACCCTCCCACACCGGTATCCCTCCAGCAAATGCATCAGCAAATTATAAGTCGTCAGCAAACCCTAGGATCGGCCTTTGGACACAGCCCTCCGCTCATCCATCCTGCTCCAACTTTTCCTACCCAGCGACCTATCCCAGGCATCCCTAGCGTCTTGAACCCAGTCCAAGTCAGCTCTGGTCCTTCCGAGTCTGCACAGGTGAGAGCAAACAAAAGAAACCTTGTGCACCTTGTTAATGAAAAAAATAAAACAAATTACATTGTCATGTTAGCAATTAATCACTGCAATAACCGAGAGCCTTGGATAACAACTTTCTTGTGGCTATGGCATTTACAGTCCTTTATTATAAATCACAGGAGTGTGTCTGTGATTTCTGATTGGTAGAATGCTTTTTGTCCTTCATAAATATTGCAGTGGCTCCTCATTCCCAATTGTCTCTCTTGAATCAGACAACTTAATCTAGGTAGAGAATGGAGGAGGAGGGAAAGCGTGTAGGAAACCCACAGCATGTTAAACATAGCAACTGCTCATTCTCAAATCAGGCTAAACAGAATGACTAGGCAGATGTTCGGTGACTTTCTACTAGGCTGCACATTGTAAATCTAAAGAAAGTCTGTGGATTACTTAAGGTTTTTACTGATGAGTGCAGAGGTTGATTCCCTGGACCTGGATTTGTCATTGGAGTTGCACTGACACATAACTGGAGGAGTGCAGTAGTGAATCAGTCTGATATTTTGGGTTTATTGCGGTTTATGGTGTTATTGCTGTTATTAATGACTATTTGTGTTTTAGTATGTCCTAGGATTTGTTCTGGGTGCTGTAAAACTTGGAGCTTATTTCTGCAAGTGGATCTATCTGGGCAAATCCCTGCAGGGCCCTATTGATTTTAATGGGCCTCCACACAGAATCAGAGATGCATCCATTAGATCCATTTGCAGGTCCTGGGCTTCAGAACAGCCAGGGCTAGCCTTAAGGGTAGGCAATGTGAGCAGCTTCCCATGGCACCATGGACAGGGGGACCCCCTGACCAAGAGACAAAGTGTGGAGCACTTCTTTAAAACTCTGTGTATTGATCTCAGTCTGCTTTTGTCTTTTGGGGGAACAATGCCGGCAGCAGAATAAACCCACAAGTGAATCTGCAGTGAGTAGCACTGGGGATCCAATGCACAACAAGCGTTCCAAGATAAAACCAGATGAGGACCTTCCCAGCCCAGGTGCAGGAAATATGCAGGTACAGCATACAGGTTTCATTTATCAGACTTTTCATCTGACTGCCAGACCAAAGAGACCTCCTATCTGTAGAATGTTTTAAGGCCCCTTAGTGGCCCTTGGCCTAACATACCTGGATGCACATGCATGCACACACTACATTAATCCACAATACCAAGGGATGATTAGAGAATCAAATGTAATTGAGTATATTATAATGGCACATTGTATGACTTGGTAGTTTTTGCTGGGGGCAGGAGTGGGGTGAGACTTGCATCTGTGTATGTCTTTAGAGGAATTTTTAATCCTCTGTTTGTCCTGGCATATTTAGTGATAAAAAGGTGAACCTGGGGTACTCAGCAATGTATTTAAACATGTGCTTGAAGTTGAGCACATGCTTAAGTCCCAGTGACTTTAACTGGACTGAGCATGTGCTTGAAGCTATACATTACAAACAAACGAACAAAAATACACACATATACATGTTGTGGGAAGAAACCAAACAAATTCATCAAGTGTCCTCAAAATCTAATTTTGGAAGAAATTTCACACACCAAGCTTATTATGGAATTCAAAACTGAAATACTTTTTTTTCTAGATTGGTGATGAACTTGCTTGCTTTGATCCCATTTCTGATACCTTACTCATACTGAATAATATCTCAGTAGTAATCCCATTGAAACATTTGGGACAACCCATGTAATTAAAGCACTGCTTAATCCAAGTATTACAAACAGGACTTTTAAGGCTTTATTTTAATTTATTTCATTGTGACTCCCCATTACTTTTAAGGAAGGTTTGACTCTTCACACACACACACCCCAATTCCCCTCAGATCCTTCCACCACTCATTGACATAGAATGCTAGCAGGTTTGAATAATTCGGGACATGATCTGCCTTTTCTTTTTTTCCTCTTCTATCAGTTCATGTAACAAGGCACCATGTGAGGAGGTTCCTGTAGAAATGATCTGCACTGGATACTTCTGGAAATTATATTGTTAAAAAGGGAGCCAGCCCTTAGAAAAATAGCCAATCTTTACTGTCTGGTTTACAAGGCCCGCTTGGGTCTTCTGTGTTTTATCTGAATGTAGGTAATGAGTTGAATCAAGAGTAGGTTAATCTAAATTGAGCTTTTCTTACTTTCCTTAATGTTTAAAGTAATTCACCTTTCTTCACCCTCTTTATCAGAGTTTTTCCTCTCTTCTCTTCACACCTCTTCACACCATTGTTTTTTACTTATTTTTTCCCTCCAGGAACAGCCAGAGGGAATGACCCTTGTAAAGGAGGAAGGGGACAAAGATGAAAGCAAGCAGGAGCCTGAAGTCGTCTATGAGACGAACTGCCATTGGGAAGGCTGTTCGCGAGAGTTTGACACGCAGGAACAGCTAGTGCATGTAAGTTAATGGTATTCAGGAACTGGGTTTTACAACTGTGACCTTTTTCATGGGGGTCAGGTTCTCTGACCCTGTGCTGAGTCAAGTTTCTTAGCTAACAGCATTGCAAACTGGAAAAGGGTTTATGAGTTTCTGAGAATAAAGAAAACTGTGAGCCACAGTGCTTGACCTGTTCAGTCAGCTAAAGCTTAGTGTAAAATTCAATAAAGTCTTCAATAGAGAGTGTAATGGCTCTGATCCTGTAAGCCAGCAAACACTATTTTGAGTTAGAGACTTTGATAGTTATTGAGTAATAGTAAGCTGGACATGAATTATTATTAACCTTTACCCAAGTTTGATTTTTTTCCCTAAAGGGATTATATCAATAGAAAGAGGAGAAGGGGAAATTCTTCCCCTCCCCTAAGGATTTACAGTTTATTTTATGTATCCATTTACTGTTGAATGTGAACTGTGGAGGATTACTTTGCTGGATGTGTATAAATGGGGTTACTGCCATCCCTTGAATTAAGGCAAACATCGTGGCTTTATTCATTCCAATCCAAAGGTTATTCATTGCCTCCTCTCTAAATCCCTCCCCTGCCCCAAAAAAATTGCATTGTTTACAATTGTGTGGCACACTTGGCTAAAAATTGTGCTGTCAAAATTTAGGCTATCTCTTAACAAACACACTCTTCTCCCTATTTCTAGGCCACTTCAAATAGGACAATAATAGAACTATTTTAATAGAGAAGCTTTAAAAACTAATCTCCTGTGCCCTGACTGGGGATAGAGATGCAGACTGTTACCAGAACAAAGCATCAAAACTTTGATGTTTCTTGTAAAAGCACCATACATAGTGCTGTATATTATGCATAATTCATTCCTTTATTAGGCCTATAGTATTAAAATAGCCTGTTGATAACTCTACATTTTCTCAGGGTTTTTTTGTGCATTCTGGAGCACCAAAGGCCAGACTGCCCACTGGTGAAAATTGATATGTCTCCAGGGACATCAGTGAAGCCATGCCTAGCTATACCAGCTGAAGATATTGCCTAATATAACTAAAGTTGCCTTTGCAATTTTTTGTCAAGACATATAACAAATGTGTGATGCAGAAATCATTGCCCTATCTCAGATTAGAATATGCCAACTGGTTCAAAAGTACATTTATTTCAATGATATTCATATTTTGACATTTTTAAATGTGTAATGGGATTTATTTTTAGATCATGTGATTTATTTGTAAGCAGAGGCATATTTTGTTTTATGAAGCAAGACTATTTCAACAGAAGCCACAAAGACTTTGAAGCGGTCCTAATATACCTTAATATGCCATTAGACTTCTTGGCTACAAGGGCACACTGTTGACTCATATCCCGCTTCTCATCCACTGTAACCCCCTAGGTCCTTTTCTGATGAACTGCTACTTAGCTGTTCGATCCCCAGCCTGTAACAATGCTTGGGATTCTTCCGTCCCAAGTGCAGGACTCTGCACTTGTCCTTGTTGAACCTCATCGGATTTCTATTGGCCCAATCCTCTAATCTGTCCAGGTCACTTGGACCCTATCCCTGCCCTCCAGTGTATCTACCTCTCCTCCTAGCTTAGTGTCATTTTCAAACTTGCTGAGGGTGCAATCCATCCATCTAGGTAATTAATAAAGATGTTGAACAAAACTGGTCCAAGAACTGATCCTTGGGGCACTCCGCTAGAAACCGACCGCCAATCTGACATCGAGCCGTTGATCCCTGCCCTTTGGGCCCGACAGTCTAGCCAGCTTTCTATCCATTTTACAGTCCATTTATCCAATCCATACTCTCTTAACTGTCTGGCAAGAATATTGTGGGAGACCGTATGAAAAGCTTTGCTAAAGTCAGGGTATATCACATCCACTGACTTTCCCATATCCACAGAGCCAGTTACCTCATTATAGAAGCCATTCAGATTGGTCAGAAACGACTTGCCTTTCATGAATTCATATTGACTATTCCTGATCACTTTCCCCTCTTCCAAGTGCTTCAAAATGGATTCCTTGAAAATCCCCACCATGATTTTTCCTGAAACTGAGGTAAGGCTGACTGGGTCTGTAGTTCCCTGGATTGTCCTTCTTCCCTTTTTTAAAGATGGGCACTACATTTGCCTTTTTCCAATCATCCGGGATCTCTCCCGATCTCCACGAGTTTTCAAAGATAATAGCCAAAGTCTCTGCAATGACATTTGCCAACTCCCTCAGTACCCTCAGATGCATTAAATCCGGGCCCATGGACTTGTGTATGTTTAGCTTTTCTAAATAGTTCCTAACTTGTTCTTTCCCCACCAAGGGCTGTCCACCTCCTTCCCATACTGCATTGCCTAGCGCATTTGTCTGGGAGCTTGTCCGTGAAGACAGAGGCAAAGAAAGCATTGAGTACTTCAGCTTTTCCCACATCATCGGTCACTAGATTACCTCCCTCCTCCAGTAAGGGCCCCACCCCTCTCTGTTCACCCTCTTATTGCTAACATGCCTATAGAAACATTTCTTGTTACCCTTAACATCCCTTGCTAGCTGCAATTCCAATTACGCTTTCGCCTTCCTGATAATTCCCCTGCATTCTCGAGCAATATATTTATACTCCTCCCTAGTCATCAGTCCAAGTTTCCACTTCTTGTAAGCTTCCTTTTTGTGTTTAAGCTCACAATGGATGTCCCCGGTAAGCCAGTCTGGTCGCCTACCATATTTGCTTTTCTTGCTGCACATCAGGATGGTTTCTTCCTGTGCCTTTAATAAGGCTTCTTTAAAATACTGCCAGTTCTCCTGGACTCCTTTCCCCCTTCATGTAAGTATCCCAGGGGATCCTGCCCATCAGTTCTCCGAGTGAGTCAAGTCTGCTCTTCTGAAGTCCAGGGAATATATTTTGCTACTCTCCTTTCTTCATTTGGTCAGGATTCTGAAATCTACCATCTCATGGTCACTGCTTTCCAGGTTGTGACCCACCTTTACTTCCCCTACTAGTTCCTCCCTATTTGAGCAGCAGGTCAAGCTGTGCATGGCCCCTGGTTGGTTCCTTCAGCACTTGTACCACGAAGTTATCCCCAACATTCTCCAAAA